AGAGGCGTGCGACCTCTGACATATATAGCAATTGTAAGTCGCTTTGGATAAAAGCGTCAGCTAAAATGAGTAAATATGTACACTATACTTACTGTATATCATTTTTGCAGTTTATATACATGAAATCAATTACTTTCCCATTTTACATGCAGTAAGTGGTGTGTGCACAGAGTAACTTTGAGTAACTTTGAAATGCCACTGTCATTTAAGAAATCTAAATGTTTTTTTGTTTTCTGAGATCTTACTGAAGCTGCCTCACCAATATCCACAATGTGTTTTAATTTTTTTTTGTAGCTGTCAGCAGCACAATGCATTTCACACAAAGGAAAATTAGGCATTTCTTTTGTCGACATAGTGTCCATCAAGAGCCAATTTAAAAATGAAACAGAAATTATATCCACTTTTTGCACTGTGAACACAGCACAGCCACAAAACACAGTACAAGAAGGTTTGTAATGGTAATCAAAAATGTCTGCAAACTGTCAATCAAATTTCTCAACTGTAAAGACATATAAATGAGAAATTAAATGAGAACTGACACAAACTGGAGAATCTAAACAACATTATTAAACTGAGCCTTTCATCACAGATGAAACGAGAGATTCGGTTTGTATTGAAACCTTTGCAGTAGATCATCAATTCAGCAGTGAAGGGGTCTGTGAAAAGGGCTGATGTTAAGACAAACAGGGATAGATAACAACAAGAATAGACAATAAAGAGGACCCCATGTTTGTGTTTGGCATGGGCCTCCAAAACACTTCATCTGCCCTTGTCTGTGTGATAGAACGGATGGAAAAGATTCAAGAGTCAACATCATACAAAAGGTAAAATATCTGGAGTACCTGCTGACATTTTTCTTTTTATTACCATTCTTCCAACATGGCTGCCAATCGCTCTTTACCCAGTGAGCCACCATTTAAAGAGAATCTGAGTGACGGGCCCCAAAATTAAAATTAAAAGTAATAATCACTGACATTCCCTTTATTAATGAATGAACAGTGAAGCGACCCCTGCTTTAACACACACACACACACACACACACACACACACAGATCACAAGGATTTGAATGATTCAGCGTATTGAGCTACATTGAAGCTGCCAGTTAGCCACTCGGGCTGATTATTAGCTCTGGCTGGACGGACACGGCTAACAGTCAGACCACCTGAGCTGAGTGACCATTTGGAACCAATTCAATTACTTCTCTCTGGGATTGATTGATCTGGTCTGGCACAGACAGGAACCAATTGGATTGTCCTAAAAACTGCTATGCTGGGCGACCATTGAACTCCAGGCAGGACTGAAGCTGATGCTTTGCTGGTCCCTCCATTTCTCTGTCCATCTGTCCATGCCCTGTCTCCCGACCAGGATTTTAATGTCTGTCTGATTGTTTGAAGATCGTAAAAATGACAACCTGCTTGAAGTGCATAAATGCCTGTCCCAAATTTCATGACAATCCATCCAATAAATCCTGAGACTATGTTTCCTATGGCTTATGATGAAAAAGTCTTGGTGGGCCTCAATGGTCTTCCACATTTTTTGGGGTCTATAGAGGATACACACTAACTTCCTCTGGTGAGCTAGCTGATCCCCACACACCATCCATCCATCTAGAATCACATCCTTTAGAGGTTTGCGTGGGGCTGGAGCCAATTGCGAGCACCCGGAGGAAACCCGTTCAGGCACGGGGCACTAGAACCTCCTTGCTGTGAGGTGAGGTGACAGTGCTAACCCCTGCATCACCGTGCCACCTCCCAGCGCACATGAATGGGATGAAAAAATTTAATTATTCAGCTTTTCCAGAGTTTCCAAATTTGATTGGACCTCTTGGATCAAATATCATTTTGGGGAGGTAATGACACTCCGAAGCTTGGTGTACCTATTGCATAAACTAGTTGTAATCAGTTGAAAATTTTTAGAATATAATAAATTAATCCTCTTCCGGTTTAAGACGCTCAAAATCAAGATTTTAGCATTTGTGATATAAATGCTAAAATCACTTCTTGAGTAAACCCACATTTTGCCTTTTTTTATCTGCTTCAGCTTCAGTTAGAGAGTTTTTTTACAGTGATCAGAATGTCTTTCAACAACCCCCAGATAAAGATGTGACCTTGCTGCTTTTCAACTGTGGATTTTAAATGTGGATGGAGACAGTGATATCAATAGAAGAGCGGGAGTCTCCAGTCAAGAAATGGTGATTTGACCTTGATTCAAACCTCAACCTGTCTTTATATTGCAATGCATTATCTGCTCTTTCATGCTCCCATGACTGTGGATATTAGTCTGTGTATAGCTCTTTTGAGATGAATGTTTCACCAAGATCGTTGAACATCATGGAAAATGAGAGATTGACTCCAAAGCTCAATGTTTTAGATCACTGTTAAATCGTCTGCTCTCATGCTGTTGCAGGAGATATCTTAACAGGAATTTTAATTACTATTAATATTCGGAATTTTAAAAAAAGATGTCAAACAGACTGTAATCACCACTAGCTGTTCTGTTTCAGTCAGTATTTACATGGATAATCCTTTAATGACTGACAGAGAGATGCAAGACAAAGAAGGAAAAAGATAAAAGTCAGCAAAAATTGGGCTTTTTCCTTAATCCAGACTTAACATCTTCTAATCACACTGGCTCTGCCCAGCTGCTACGATGCAAAATGATGCTGAGACTTAAAATGTATTTCACATCTGGGTTTCATACTGCACTAATTTCATTTTATTGAATAAATCATGTGTTCCAGATGTGAATTGAGAAAATAAGAAGCATGTTTTTTTTTTTACCTTTTTTTGCTGTTCACATTGATTAGTAGATCGGTTCCAAATCACATGGGCGGGAAAAATGGGAATTTTCAGCTGCAGGTGAAACTCATGAGCCATTTCCACATGTGCTGAATAAATCTCGCAAAATTTAAAATCAGACTCAAATCCAAGGCACACTGAACAGTGACCAACTCTCCCGGCAACTATCACATTAAAACCAACTCATTCTCATTCTCCAGCTCTCAGCATCTTATTGTTGTTCATTAATGCAGATCATTACCGAGTCTGCATGTAATTATGCTCGTGTGAATTCCCACATGCTCTAATTCGGGATTAGCGGATGTTAAAAATGTGTTTTTCTGTCTTCCTCTACCTTCACAGAGAGGTCAGAGGTCAGATGCAGGCCTGGAGCAGGAAGTTAAAGGGCTCAAGGACACTTCAGGGTGGCTTACTGATTTATTCACCCTGCTCTGAGAAAAACTGAGAAGTGATTTAAATTTTCTCTGAGGGGTAGAAGTATTACAATCACAACCGGAGTTGAATTTATCAATCCTGCTTGGTTGTTTAAGTGTCTTTGAGCAAGGCACATATTCATTTCTCGTACCAGTGTCTGACCATTCACTTCCCTGTTAAAAGGAGGTTGAAACAGCAGAAAGTTCAACAGCTTGCCCTGTACATTTTTGTCAGCTGATTAAAACTATGTTCTGTTATTCCTAAGAGTTGAAATAACTTACAACACATTAACAAAACAAGAACAAGCAGGAAAAAAAGCTGCGTGCTGAACCAACAGCCTGGCTGGTGCTGAAAAAAATCATATTCAATAAAAAAAAACAAGATGCAGATAGAACATAGATTCTAAAACTATTTTCTGACTATTTCTGTGGTTTTTGAAAGCTGCTACTGAACCTCAGTAGTCAAACATTGTTGTTTGTGACGCTTGTGTATTACTACTACTACATTAAGTTGTTTTCATATTTGTGTGTGTCAGTTTTGGCTTTCCTGCCTATAGTGTCAGTGGCTGCTCTTGTCAGTCAGGCTTTGGGTCAACAAAAAAATTGTAATCGATATTACAAGTTCAAATAAAGCTTACATTCTATAGTGCATTTTGCCATGTAAACATCCTTATATTAGACGTGTAGTTTTATACACTAATGAGCAGAAAAACTTTCATAGATTGCATTTTTTACTTATGTAAAAGTACCAATACCATGATGTAAAAATACTCTGCATTTAAAATATTATTAATGACTATTATTATTTAATGATTCCTACTTATTACAGAAGTATTATCAGCTAAATGTAGCATGGTTTTCTTATGAAATATTGGACAGTTTTACCTTTTGGGGCTTTAACCAGTAGTTTAAATTAAACCATCTGATTAGTTTAGAGGGGAAATGTGACAAACATGACAAGGGGCCCGAACAAGACACTGCTTTTTTATGCAAATTCTTAATATGTAAAGTAACTATAGCTGCCAAATAAATGTAGTGGTGTAAAAAGTACAACATTTTCCTCTGAAATATAAAAGTATGAAGTAGCATTAAATGGAAGTTCTTCAAAATTCTCCTTAAATACAGTACATTTTCAGAATTGTTATAAAAGCTTTGAACTACACTGAGTGTGGAGGAAAAAATAAAATTCAGTTTTAAGATCACTAACATGACAAGCAGCCAGAGGAGAAGTGCAGCGGGGTCTAAACCACAGAGCTTTGATAATATTCCTGTCAACATGTCAGGACCATGACAGAGAGAGGGACCAGGGAAAGAAACTGTATGTTAGAGCTCAGATGACTGTATGCATCCGTCCAGATTCTGTCACAACCAGGACCAGAAGGGCAGATGGACAAAGAGGCTCATGGGAGAGTAATTCATATTTTTACTATCACTGTCGTAAGTGTTGTGTGAAAGTGAATGCTTCAAGTTCAGCTGGACGGTAAAAGAATCTCACTCTTTGCTGGTCGGATTTCTGCACATTTCTGCAGCAGTAGATAAGAAGAACAGGTAACATTTCGGCGGAAAAGCGCACACACATGCAAATGAACGGGCATGGACGCTCGCACACGCGTAGCGAGCGCGTACACACGCACACACATCTCCAGAGCACATCCCCAACACTATCCTGTTGGGAGCAACGCTCACATGTGCACCGCGCTCACATTAAAACACACACCAACACGTATGCACACACGCGCTCACGCACGCACACCCCTCTTGTTCCCCACACCACCCCAGCGGTCCTACCTCCAGACTTGCCCCAGCTGCAGGACGTGGAGCACTGTTTGAAAGACCCACATGCAGACGGTGCAGCACCTCCGGGGGCCCCCCGCTCTCCCTGCCGTCGCTGGAGGGGCAGAGGACGAGTAAACTGGGGTCGCATTTGCTGCGTTCCCCGTCGCCGCGCATCCACCGCGCTGGTCGCTGTCCTTGGTGCTTAAAGTGTTGTCGCCCGCCGTGGCTGCTCCTCCTGCCGCGCCTGCCGCCACCGCGGCCGCGCCGGTCCCGCTGCCGCTCGCTGATCCATCCCCGCCGCTCAGTTCCGAGTAGTCATACACGAACCACCTGAAACTCAGTACCTGGACGACCGCGGAGGGCACCACGACGAAGACGAGTGTCAAGCCGAACCACCAGTAGTCACCTCTCAGGTAGTAGTCGGCGGCCAGCCACAGGTCGGTCGCGCCGTCGGAGAAAAAGACGAGCAGGGCGCAGAGCACCCAGCAGCAGTCCAGCAGGGTGTAGGGTTTCCCGCCAGCGGCGCTGCAGCGGGGCCGGGCGGCGGGGTTCCCCGGCTCCGAGAGGCTCCTGGGCGTGTTGTCATCTTCCACAGACACCGCTGCTCCATCCGACTTAGCGGCCATGTTGGTTAGGATAGGAGAGAAAGACAGAGAAAGAGGTGGGGAGACGAGAGAGAGAGAGAGAGAGAGAGAGAGAGAGAGAGAGAGAGAGAGAGAGAAGGGAGGGGGCTGGCTGTGTGCAGGAGAGAGAGAGTGAGAGAGATTACATCATAACTAGCCTCATCATCAACCAATTAATTGTGAGGCATCATTACTAACAGCGCTTTTAACACTATGACACCAGCGCGATGTTTTCAGGACAGTCAGCTTGCAAACAGACAATTCTGCAAACAATAAGTAGTAGTCTTTACGTTTAATTCCTGTCCTTAAATGTATCCCAGTCACTTTATCCTGTCTCTCTGCAGCAGCAGCAGCAGCACTCTGCTGCACATGACAAGACTGTTGTCAAACTCATATTAAGGTGGTTTTATATGCTGCTCCTGCTGAGTATCAGTTTCAGACTTGGCGCTCTCACCCTGGGGAATCATCATTTTTACTACGAATGGCGAAAAACCAGTAAATGTTTTGCATTCTGTCCACTGTTTTCAGTGCTGGTCCTGCACAATGAATCTCCCTCCAGACAATAAATGTTAAAATGTGCTGTGCACTGACTCGAAATCATGACCCTCCTTTAATCGATAAGAGATTGTGAGACAATGCATTCAGCAGTCTTCATAAAAGTAGCTCACAGTGACATTTTCTGGTTTTATTTATTAAGAGAAAGGTTTTGCTGAGGTTTGGTCTTTCAGTCTGCCGTCTCACTGGAAGAGAAAGGTTGAAAGGGTAATACCACTATTTTCCCCCGTCTGGGTTCTCCTCTCTCTGCATACACTCAGCATACTTGTAGGGCTCATTTTCTTCCTTCAGAAGAAACCGTAGTCTGCATGTTGATGCCTGTTCAGTATTAAAAACACAGAGAGAAAGATCATATATTAAAGAAAAAAGGAAACTCATTAGTGCTGCATTGCCTCAGGAAGAAAAATCTCAAATAAACCATTGAAACTACATGTCACCAGCCAAATAAGTCTTGCTTGATTGCAAGGGATTGATTGCCTACAATGCTCAAAGAATACATTTATAAAATTGTTCCACCTGAAGACAGAGTGTCTTGATATTTTCTGCACCATATCAAGCAAGACTTTTTGGGTCCTGTGTTTTGTGCTTTCACCTGCCCAACTAAAGAGCACCTGTTGGATCAACCATCAGAGCGCTTTCTTCTTCCACTGTAAAAGTTCTTTCCTGATTTCATGGGTTTCACATGACTTTCAAGATGAGTTCAGTACAGTAATGTTGCAGGCGATGGCATTTGAAACGTCTTCAAAAATACAAATTACCTAAATGCTCTGAAGAATTTAACAGGCAATCACAATGAAAAGCTGGTTCTGGTAAAACATGTTTTTAGTACATCTAAAAGTAACACATTCTCAAACCTATGGGAGTAACTTTCATCTAACTGGGACTATAAACATAACATTTCTCAAGAGCAATTTTTGAAGGGGACACATAATACAGCCAACATTGTACTTGTATAGGATGCATGTACACAGAGGGAAGTCTAACTACTATTTTTCTGGCCAACAACACAAAGCAATAGTTGTTTAAATATGACTTATGTTCATAGGTTCACCACGCGGCTATATGATCCTAATAAACTTGCGTCCTCTACATAGTAATAGGTTTCAAGTAGTAGGATTCTTCTGGGACAGAAGACGTCTCTTACTTAGGTAGATCTACACTAGCCTAATTTAACTTCACATACAGGATTATCACTGCATTAGCTGTAGTAAGAGATCCACAGATTACATTTTTCCTGGCTGATTCCACTTACTGATTTTTAGTGTTTAGGTCTGACCTGCCTTTCTAATTTTCTTTCTTTCTAAGAACTATAACTGACAGCATACACAAACATATTTGTAACTATTTAGTGGAATAATCTATTTTTGTTAGGATCCCCATCAGCAACAGTATAAATGTGCTAATCTCACTGGGGTCCATTCAATTGTATGGTCATAATGAAACACTGATGAGTATTTTCACTGGAAGGAGCTGAAAATAAATTGCAGTAGTTTATAAACTAGGCGATTTTTAAATATATTTTGCTTAAAAACATTTGAAAGACTACATTATCCTATTTCTTATTTCACCATTTTAATTCTATAATCCTCCAACTTATTTTTGTGTTTAATCACAAACAACAGTAATCTGCTCACCTTGCTTTTCCCTCAGACACACAAGCACACACCTACACCTCTCTCTCTCTCTCTCTTTCTCTCTCTGTCTGCTCTGACTTTATTTGTCAACAGTTTTATTTAAAAGAACTGGAATTTTTTCACCTGCAATTCCATTTTCAGGGCAGCAGATGAGCCGCGTTTGGAGGCTTGTTAATAACCGAGAAAGACCACCATGGTATGAAAGTTTCTTTCTAGGTTCAAATTTGGGTGTATTTTAGCTCTTCTTCTCCAGAATAACCCGTACTATTTCAATGTAAAGACACATTTGGTTTATGTGAATAATTACATTTAAGGGTTAAATGTATGTATAATGGATTAGATAGATGTTGCTTCATCAACATTTTTCCAAATGCATTAGAATTAGAATAGTGAAAGTGTGAAAAATTTAGGTCATTCAGAGAAGACACACAAACCCATTGGTCCTACTGAAATATTTTTTGTGTCTTTATTACAGATGGTGGCAAAATGACAGGTAATTAGGGAGAGAGAGACGTGAAACAAAGGTCCCCAGTGTAATCCGAGACATTGTGGAGATCAACCCCTAAGCCATCAGGGCACCCTAAAATTTATTAAAAATGGGTCACAAATATGCTTTCATTAAGAAACAAAATAAGTTAACACAACTGGGCACTGTCGTTTTTAGCAAACATTTCTAAACAGGAGTAAAAAGTGCAATTGTTGGGCACTATTTTCAGCAGTAGATTATTTAGTGCTCTAGTGAGTAGGGGAGAGCGGGGGTGAAAGTACCATTTTTCAGAAAAACCTGATTTTAAAAGATAAAGTTTCCGACAGAGATATATTTTTGCTGTGGTCAATAACTCACAGGTGTGGTCTATCAACGTCAGGTTGTATTTTGTACAAATGTAGAACGACTTCCGTATAATTTCACTTTAAACATAAGCGGCACATTGTTACTTTCGACCCCAGCTGGGACAAAAATTAACACACAGGTCGGTCAAAACAATACAAGCTAGATTTTTTTGTGATTTGTATTTAATAAATAAACATGACTGTTATTAACTGCAAACATCTTTTGTCCTTTATCTTTAAAATTTTTTTTTAATTTAATTTTTATTTTAAATATTCAGTTTCAAAAGTAACCTGACAGCCCAAACTTGAATTGTTTAGAATATTTCATATTATATTAAGGATATATTATAAATATATAATATAAATACACAAATGTGTGCACCTAAAACAGGTGGGAAATGTTTAGATGGAGATTGTTTATGAACCTGACATGATTAAAATAAAATAAGACTTTACTGATCCTGTACTGGGGATATTTGCATGTTGTAGCAGTTTCAGAAACAGTGAAAAAATGAAATATAGAAAGATAAGACAAAAATTAAAATAAACACTAAAATTAAGATAAAAATTAAAAAGCTATTTATAGAATAGGCCTATACAAATATCAGATTTTGAAATTAATTTAAATTTGTTTTAGTAAGAACAGTATGAGTGATCTGCATTTTGAGTGCTTTTTATTGACACCTACTCCACTGACCTCCTTAGGAGACAGGCCAAAATAAATATCAGCTCTCTCTTAATATAAGCATGCAGCTTCCTCTCCTAGTCCAAGGAGAAGACTTAATAATGTGATCTGTACCTTTGGTCTAGTCTTCTCCCCAATTATCTCTGCCCTCCTCCTGCATTATCTGAACAAAGCGCATGGCATATGGCATGAGACTTTATCAGCTGACCTGAGACTAATGTTTCTAAAAGAGATGTCCAGAAATGCCTTCTCAGAAACATCTGTCTTTCTGACCCCCGCTATTGGCATATTCTGTTGGTATAATATGACATAAACATGTTTTAATAAATGCTGCAATGCAGAGAAAGTCACCACATTAGTAGCGGGACAAAAGAAACACTTGTGGTCAGGTGTAGCGGGACAAAAGTAACCACTCCTGATATATAAACACGATTTATTTTTATACTGAAAAACTCCGACAGGGCAAACTTCAGGGTGTGTTAAAGCACTAAATAACCTGTAGATTAATCTTTACTGTGACACATGAAACGAGAGACACAACTTGCAGTTCGAAAGAGAGTCGCGCTTCAGAAATTTACTTGCAGTGATAGAAAACTGCTTTCCGAAGACGGCCTCAGGAAACGATGACAAAATCATGCGATATTTGGCAGCTCCATCAATGGTTGCGTGCTGAAGGTGCTGTCACAGCTTGGACTGCAAATGCAGTCAGGGCTCTGAGAAAATCGGCTTGTTACTTTTGTCCTGTGTTACTTTCGTCCTGTGTTACTTTCTCCCCGGTTTACCCCTATTTGAGGCAGCAAGAAGGTGCATTTGATTGAGTCAAAACAAACTACAGTGAGTGTTTATGGCAACAAAGGAACTTGTCATCCAGAGCTTGTTTACAATGTTTCTTGGACAACATGACAGGAACAACATATATCAGACTTTGGATACAGACAACACCTGTTAGTAGAATGAATTCATTGTTGTTTGGTCTTTTGGGATTTGTTGACAATAAGAAACAAACACAATATCACCAGAGTTCATAATCATCAGCTGTTAAAGGTTTTTTTCTCAGTATTTCCTCCTCTCCCACAGCGAGTCTCTAACCTCACAGGCTGCCTCTGTTTAAGTTTCAGGGCCTTTAAAATATATTTGTCTGATTGTAACGAGGCAGTGATGCACAAAGCTGACAAGACACAGAGCAACCGGTCTGTTTACAGCAGTGACCGTACTAATTGAAAAGATCCCATAAACTCTGTGCAGAATAGGCAATAAAACTCTTTGGTGAATTACGGCTCTGCGCTTCACTGCCCTCAATAAACTAATCAGCCACTGTGTTTCCACATCGGGGACTAGTGGGGCTTAACTGAGCAGAGGTCAATCCAAAATGTCTGTGGA